AGGATGACTTTCAACAAAGCAGCCCCCATGGCAGGTTTTTCTACATGTACAAATTTCTGTGGCACGTGTATCATGTCCAGATGTGCAAAAAAGCCTCTTGGAGTGATGCCTAACACAACAGGAAGTCGGCTATTTTGAATTTTATGGTTATTTTTGGATTTTTTACACACTCCGTACTTTAACATACTACTTTAACTAAGCTTTAATTAATTTTGAAATAGTTCAGGAGCATAGCGCTTGCTTTATTGTGCTGTTGTGTTGCTTCCCGCATGGAGGACAAGTTTGTAAATGGAGGCGGAGTGCCTGTTTGGTATTAGCATTCAAGTACAGGCCTTTATTGTCTTTGGTTAGGTTAGCGGTAATACATCCTTGGTTTAAGTTTTCCTTTAATAAAACTTCTTTTGTTATTTTTGTTGTCTTGGGGTATTCTTTAGGCCAGGTAATGATGAACATTTGTTTTCTTCAGTGAAGTAAAACCAATCCAAAGCTCAGTGCATCGTTAGCAACACAAGAAGAGGACACTGGCCTAGCTCCAATAACCCAGTGAAGTGAGCGATGCTAGTCAAGCTCACCAGGGTACAGTGAGACCTGCATCCTTTCTTGCTTGCAACCAAAGGCATTCAACCTATTGTGGCTTGACTGTGTGACTAGAAAAGGTACCGGAGTTGCTTTCTCTCTTAAAAAGGGCTCAATGCCAGTTTAGATAGTTAAAGGAGCAGGCATCTCACGAGCAGATAGCCATTAAGAGTTTAATATATGTCAGACTATCAATAGTGTTAGCATTAGAATTAGCTGCAGAGACAAGTGTCTCCAAATTCAGAATGGCATTTTACTCAGGTGTCACAACAGACTGATCCGATACCAGTTTAAAATGAAGAAGCTGTGAGGAAAAGACAGAAAATCATTATTTTATATGTAAGGCAACATCAGGCTTGATCAAGCGTGAAATTTCTCCAACTGCTAACCCCCTTTTTTGAGCTATCACCATACTATGTTAGTTCAGCTAAAAATGTTTGGGTCTACCGGCGTAGTAAGCTTATCAATAATCGAGGTCACTAAATGCTAAGACTTTTTAGAAATAAAGCAGCTCAGAGGTTCACATCTAGCAGAGTGGTTGTGGTTCAGGGGTAGAGCAGATAGCCCGGTAATCAAAGGTTGGCAGTTTAATCCCCTGCTCCTCCAGGCTATGAATGTGTGAATTTTAGTTTCTGTTTGAGCACTTAGGCTCAATGTATAATGTGAGTGAATGGTGAATGCAGATGTAGTGTAAAAGCGCTCTGAGTGGTCGAAAAGACTTGAAAGGCGCTATACAAATACGGAGCATTTACATTTTAGCGCTCTGCCCTAAGTCTTATAATGGGGGAAAATCCTGCTGTTGTGGAAATGTTGGTGATATTCTTCTGTAAACAAACATGGAAACACAACGGGCAATATTGAGGTCAGCAAAAATGATGGGTCATGTCCATATATCGTGTGATAAGTTGATAAGAAAGGCCTAGGCATAGACACTCCCGCAAGTTTTGTTGGCTCACTCTGGATACAAAGTTATAAAAATTATAATGTAGCCTGATACAGACATCAGAAAACTGAATTTCAATCATGAATTTACTTTAATTAAATTTTAATTATATAGCACCAATTCATAACAGAAATGATCCCATTGCACTTTATGTATGTAATATTATTTACAGAGACCCAATAGATTCACATGATGACATGATCCCTGAATCACACGACCAGGCTTGACTGAGATTTGAAGTTAAATAGGGTGCAGTTATTGAGTGTAAATTTAGAGGTAATATTAACATTTGTCACAATGCGATGCGTCAGTGTTTCATTGCCCAGTTGACAGTCAGGCACAAATTCAAAGCAACACAATATCCGAGGAACGTCTCACAAAACCTCTAAAAATAATACAGAATAATTTTAAAGGACACATTTTGCAACATTTTGCATTTCACAACCTGTATCCCTAAGTTTCTTCCAGTCATCAGGTTCACTGCCACCGAAATAAAATTGGGGCATACAAAAAAATAGTTACACAAAGTTGGATGACAGCTGTGATCCAGCTTAGCCAGTTGAACTGGCTGAAAAGCAGGACCTCCTTGCCACAGATGGAAATTTAGCTGGCACAATAGTTGCTACAGGTGGCAGAGGCAAAGATTTGAGGATCAAGCTAAGTTTAGCAGGTTGTGTCTCCTTAATGTCACCACAAAGAGGTATTACACCTGGCTACAAGTCCCCACTAAATGTAGAAGTAAGTAGAAACTTCCCTTGGCCATGTATTAGATGAGACAAAGGGTTTCCATCACACCTGCCATGTAGTGGGAAAGCAGTGAAGGTCTCCTGCTTTCCTTTGCCTGTAGAGCAGGAGCCCTTTGCCCATATTATGATTGTTCCGGGGCCATAAATGTAATTGAATGAATTGATACATTTTACTGGATGTGAAGATGTCCAGATGCTTGTCAGACAGCAGGTCTAACCTTATATCAAACCATCATCAGCAGTTTGTGGCTGAGCTGCAGAAAGCCCCTACTTTCTCGTTAACTGGAAGGTTGGCGGTTCAATCCCTGGCTCCTCCATGTCCAAGTGTCCTTGGGCAAGATGCTGACCCCCGAATTGTCCCTTGTGTGAATGTTAGTTTCTGTTTGAGCACATAGTGAGTGAATGGTGAATGCAGATGTAGTGTAAAAGGGAAAGGCGCTATACAAATAAAGAGCATTTACTTACCATCTTCAGTCTGAGGGTAAGACTTTCCAACAGAAGAAGATATACTTTATTAATCCTTCAAGGGGAAACTATGTTTTCACTCTATTATTATGATATTATTTACACACAAGTCCATAAGACACATGCACAAACAGGACCCATAGCAAGTGAGTGAGGGGGCTGCCACTCAGTACAGCGCCTCAAGCAGTTGGGGGTTCAGGGGCTTGCTCAAGGCCTCCTTCGGCAGTGCACAAGAGGTGAACTGGCACCTCTCCAGCTACCAGTCCGTGCTCCGCAATTCTGGTCCGAGCTGGATTTGAACTTTTTAGAATTTGAGCTAATATGTGGCCATGAGGTTAGTGCCCTGTCCTGAAGACTGTTCATCCAAAGTTTCAAGGGGGTGTTCTTGACTATGTATCCTCAAACTAGTTGAGTTCTGCTGCGTGTCTCAGGTTCAGGGAGCCCAGGAGACACAGCAAAACAAAAGACAGCTGACCCCTGGTGTAATCACCGGTAGCTGAAAGCTGGGTTTGAATTTTGAATTTATTAGGATGGCATTGCAAGACCACAGGAGTTGTGCGTCTCTAACATTTTTTTTTCTGATTATATGTTCATCTTGCAGTTGCCAGCACCTCAGCCCTGTCATACAAGCTTTGTTTTTAGCAATAAACATATTCTAATTGTTCTATCATTTCCATTGTTGTGAGATATATCCACTTTCACTAAAACATTTGGGCTACTAAATCATTTCTACATCGTTTACAAGCATACCCTGTATATAAAAATGGACGTAGTGTCCGTGACGTTACCTTTAGGTTTCTGAAGACCCGGTTTGAAGCCCAAAGTGGGCGAAGCCGGTCGTCGCCATCTTGGTACCACGTCACTGTGCGTCACTCCTGGATAACTAAAAATGGGCAAAGGGACAGGTCGTGGGTGGAGCTGAGGTGATGGGTTGCTGAAACCTCACCCGCCTAGCGTGACGTGACCGAGTTAGCTCAGACTAAGAAGATGATGCTATATGCTTCTCTGCTTTAGCAGCGGTAGCTTCTTTGCTAAACCACCGGGGGCTGTATGGTGGAGGTTGGTAGCCTGTGGCCCTGTTGTTACCAGTCTATGGTCGTTACCAGCTTACCCTTGAGGTAAGTTACCTGAAACTATACAACACTAAAAATAACTATCAATCTATTGACATTACACTACACAAGGTTTAAAATGCTTCAACATGTTTAATATATAAATGTGGTAACGTTAATTTGATGTTAGCTTCCGTTTGAGCACTTAGGCTCAGTGTATGAATGATTTTAATCTGCAATAACAGCGCCGTCTATGGCCATATTTGGGTGAACTTTGGTCCATGGAGTCAGGGGACCATCCTGAACAATTGGGCTCAACTTTCATGTCAATCCGACTTGTGGTTGTAGAGGATTTTTCGTGTTAAATAGCGCCACCTAGGGGCTAATTGCACCAACGTTTGCATAGCCCATCAGGAGGTCATGGCATATAACATACTCAAATGTGGTGTTGATGGGCCATTCCAAAGCTAAGATATGACTTCACTTCCTGTTTTTAGGGTTTTTCACAAACCTTTCTTAGCTTATAATTGGAACAGTTTTAGGCGTATTGATCTGGGGAGCACAAGCCTGTATCAGCTTCATCGAGAGATGGTCCGTGCCAAGTTTGGTGCCAGTCGGACTTGCGGTTTCAGAGGAGTTAATTAGGTTTTTCAGTTTTCGCGATGTAGTGAAAAAAACATTTAGGCGGAAATGGGCTTGGCTTATACCATGAGATTCAGCTGCATCCCCCGAAACGGGTGGATATAAGGTTTTTGATATGCGCCTATGTATCTGGCAGTTCCAAGCCCATATGTGTTGACTTTGCTAATAGCACCCCCTAGAGGTAGAAGTGTGCAGGTTTGTACCTACCCTGTGAGTTTCTCTAGGAGTTACCGTCTAGGCTGCAGTATCAGTTTTAGCGGCGGAAGAATGAAAAAAATTAAAGCTGCAAGCAGCGTTGGACGGGCACATGCACATGTAGCGCGTCGAGGTGTGAGGCAGCTGCGTTGCAGATTCTGGAGCTCTGCCAGTGTGTCTGTAAATTTGCCAATGCGCTTTGGACAAGGGTGTCCCCTTTGTGGCGCTACATAGCGCTTCGCACTATGACTAACTGAACATGTAGATGTGTTGGACTGTTATCAAGCACGTAAAGGTTGGTGCAGATGCTGGCTGGAGGCATTTCACAGCTTCTTTCTTTGTCATTTTTAGGAAAATTAACTTGTCTTTTAACCATCTCAGGTTCCGGAAGCTCTGCCATCGTATTATCAATGCAACTACTTTCACCAACATCATCCTCCTCTTCATCTTACTGTCATCTGTTTCTTTGGCTGCTGAGGATCCCATCGACCCCATGTCCTTCAGGAACCAGGTGACAGTGCATGCCTTTCACACTGTAATTAAAATCCTTATGTAACACTGTGATTGGAAAATATACACTGTATATATATTATTAATATTACAAAACATTTTTAGGTGTTGGCCTATGCTGATATAGTCTTCACTTCAGTGTTCACAGCGGAAATTGTGCTCAAGGTAATTACAGCCGCCACAGTTGATACAGGTTGGTGAGAAATTAAAGAAAAGACCTGAAGAGGTGTGGAGAAAGTGAGTCCAGATACTTTGTTACAGCTGATGAGGGCACTGAATGGTTTGATTATGGAAATAATGTGAATCACGTATTATATTACAGTCACCCGATCTCAACCTAACTCAACTGAGCCTATTCTTTCAACAATTCACCTCTCCATTAAGAATCTATGCCAAGCCGTGGGGTAGCTGTTCTGGAGATTCTTCATGTTGGGTTTTCCTTTCATTTGTCACTCACATGTATATTATAATGTAACAACATCTTGGTTCACCAATCATAGAAATCAGAGCAACACAAACAGTAAAATATGACAAACCTAAAGAAATTTGCATCCATAATTGCTCTCAATCACTGCAAATTAAAACATGAGGGAAATTGAGTGCTGAATAAAATGTTTCTAATCCCACATTTTTATTAGTTAATTTCAATTCAAACTGAAGCACCAAATTCCATGAACGGTCCAGACAATCATATAATTGCAGTGTTCATGCAGTGTTAATAGTTTGAGATGCAATTGTTTAGAAGCTATACATTATACCTCCAGTAGGAGGTTGTGGTGTTCATAATGGATAACACATTTTCTTTTTCAGATGACAACATACGGTGCCATTCTTCACAAAGGGTCTTTCTGCCGGAACTCTTTCAACATATTGGATCTTCTGGTGGTCAGTGTATCTCTCCTGTCGATGGGCATGGAGTAAGTGGAGTCTAGAGATGTACTGACTGACCTACTTTGTCATGCAAAGAGCTGCATTCTTTATCTTGCTGACTCTTGGATTTGATAAAGCAATGCCATCTGCCATTGCACCATTAAACAAACACCTTATGTTGCCATAGAGTAAAAACGTTGTGGTGTGCCTTTGTTTGTATCATCTAGATCCAGTGCCATCTCAGTGGTGAAGATTTTAAGGGTGTTAAGGGTGCTCCGGCCCCTGAGGGCCATCAACAGAGCCAAGGGACTCAAGGCATGCAGTGTCTATGAATATACATGCAGTCTTAAAAACGGCCTCAAGCTGACATGATTCATCATCTGTTTGTAATATCCCTGTCTTTGTAGCATGTGGTCCAGTGTGTATTTGTTGCTGTCAAGACCATTGGAAATATTGTGCTGGTCACCATGCTACTGGACTTCATGTTTGCCTGCATTGGAGTCCAACTTTTCAAAGTGAGAAAAGAAGGAAATAAAATACTGGCACACTGTTGCTTAACACTGTTTTTGGTTATGTAAATAACCTTTGTCGATCTGCCTCATAAACACACTTTTGTTGTCTTCCCAGGGCAAATTCTATGCCTGCACAGATCCTGATAAAGTGACTGAGGACACATGCAAGTAAGGACCTTTTTGTGTTTATTAGAACAGTAAAGATCTTTGGTTTTAACTCTGTACAGTTTGCTGCTCCTTCTTCTGGTGGTGTTGAGTCAAACCAGTGGTAAACATGGCTTGACCTCTGCTCTATGTATGTAAGACAAAAGTCATTCAAAGTGGATTATCTTGGAAATTTGACCATACTTTCAGTAAACAAGCCACATTTGACAGCATAATTTATCATTTTAATCAAGGTCCACTCTAGTCCATTCCAGGGCTTTTTTCTAATCTCAGGTCTGAATCAGCAGATAGTTTGTTCTCAGTTCTCATCACATGACTGAAGTGGGGTATAACATCATGTGACAGCTGTGTTGAACATGACATCAGTGCAGGAGCTGGGAGACCCTAGACAAGAGACTGACTGAACACTTTCAAAGAACACCAGACAAAAACTGCTCACAGCATCCACTGGGAAAAGATCACAGGTCACCATTGAACAGGAGTTAGTGGATGGACAGAGAAAGATCAAGGAGGACATGATTTATTATCTTCTTACAGGAATACCTCAGTATGGATCGGAAAAAAGAGCAGTAAGTGGAGGCGGGGATAATATTCAGTTTTAACAACACCAATAATAATAATAACTAGAACTGCAAGCAGTTGTATTCGGGGTCCAAGCCTCCCGGCGCAAGCCGCCCCCCCTGGCCCCGCGGAGGGCGCGCGAGTCGGCCCGGGTGCCCCGCGGTCGGGCCGCATAAGGACCCCAAAGTTTGGTGTTGATCTGCCATTCCAAACTGAGGCAAAATGTCCTGCATTTGAAAATGCCATAGGAATTAATGGGATTTAGTGAGAGATTTCAGCTTCGCTTTTAGTGCCACCTCTTGGCCGAATTGCACCAAAATTGTCATGTGTTATCAGGGCCCCATGGGCGACAATTGCCCCAAATTTGGTGTCAGTCGGACTTGCGGTTATGGAGATGCATGTAAGTCAATGGGATTTTTTTCAATAGCGCCAACTAGGGGCTAACTGTACCAAATTTTGCACAGCCCCTCAAAGGGGCATGCCACATAAGGTCCTCAAGTTTTGTGTTGATCGGCCTTTCCAAGCCTGAGATATGTTATACTTGCTGTTTTTAGCGTTTTCGCAAATATTTGTTAGCTTGAAATTGGGACATTTTTTGTTGGATCAAAATTCCCTCTACAAACTTTCTTCGGCTTGGTCCAGAGATGGTCCGTGCCAAGTTTCGTGTCGATCGGACTTGTGGCTTAGAGGCTTAGAGGCGTATCCTATACCATCGTAATTGGCAGCATCCCCCAAACACGTAGACGTAAGGTTTATGAATGTGCAATGTAGTGAGCCATAGTTATCCTGCTAAATGTTCTTTGGTTGAAAATCCCATTGAAATGAATGGGGTATTTGAGCTTCGATTATAGCGCCACCTTTTGGCCGAAGTGCACCAAATTTGTCAGGTGTCATCAGGGCCCCATGGGGAACAAATGACCCATATTTGGGTTTTCGCAAACATTTGCTAGCATATAATTGTGACATTTTTTCTCGGATCACAATTTCCTCTACAAACTTTCATCAGCGTGGTCCAGAGATTATCCGTGCCAAGTTTGGTGTCGATTGGACTTGCGGCTTCGGAAGTGTTAATTAAAATAGGTTTTTCAGTTTTCGCGATGTAGCGAAAAAAGTGTAGGCGGAAATGGGCGTGGCCTATACCACAAGATTCAGCTTGATCCCCTGAACGTGTGAATATAAGGTTTTTGATATATGCCTTCGTAGGCGGGAGTTCCAAGGCCAAACGCGTTGACCTTGCTTATAGCGCCCCCTAGAGGTAGAAGTGTCCAGATTTTTGCGCCTGAGTTAAGTGAACTGGACCTACTTTCCCTACCGCAGTTACCGTTTAGGCCACAGTATGAGTTTTCTAATAATAAAATAATACTGGTTTGGCCTTTCTTTCCATATTCTGACGATTTTGTCAATTTTGAATTTGTCTAGCCTGGTAACAAAAAAGAGAAAATAAAAGATATTATATTAGCAACTTGTTTTAGCAACTTTTTACACAGTGTACCACCAGAAAATATTAGGCTGTCCAAGTACCCAAGGTTATAATAGTTTTGGATTTTTCATTAGTTTCTATTTTTATTTCGTTTTGACTTGTTTTCAGTTTCAGTTTTTAACGTGGGTTTGCTAGTTTAGTTTAGTTTTTATTTTTGGAAAATGCTTAGTTTTAGTTTAGTTTTTATTAGTTTAAGTGTTAGTTTTAGTCTTTGTCGCTGCAGGATGCCAAGCTCAGTTCAGTTTAGTTTTTTCACAAAACATTAAAATACAAGTACAATCAGAAATATTTGTGAAAGGGCTTAATAGGGTGTTTGAAGCTATCTGAAGCTTGTACATAAATGAAGAACATGCAATCTACAGTATAATATCTAACCTACATACAGAAAACCCTAGGATCAAACTACCCTAATCCTGCTACCCAGTGGTCCCAAGAAATTCATTACATCAGTCTATAGCTCTATCATTCTTGGTTAAATAGGTGACATACAAAAATGGAGGTGAAACACAATTGATGGACAGCTAAGAAATTGGAAGATAGTGGAGGCCCCCCTTGGAGCCACAAACAACAGGTCCCTCGCACCCTGAAGGCAAGTATGACTGGAAAGTAGTTATATTAAAATCTTAACCTTTATTAATCAAAAACTAGGTATCAAAACAATGTGAAACACAAAGAGAAAGTTTGGCTGAGATATAAATGAGCCCATAAAACACACACGCTGACATGCAGCAAATATAATGAGTTAGAGGAGCTCATAATCAATGGGCAAGTTTATCCCACACACGCAGGATGCTAAGCCAGACCATTAGAACAGAACAAAACAAAAAGAAAACCACCAAGACATTGACTCACTAAGTTACCTGCAACCCAAACTAAACAAAACACATCTCTATAGCCTACAGTTGTTGCGTTCCTATTATTTTGTACACATGTATGTATAAATGATAATGGAAAACAATGTTCAAATCCCACCAACTACACAGCCGATCCCTACCTGGGTCTCCCTGACTACTTTAGCCTCCCCCTAACGTTACATGGGGCTTTTCTCGTAACAGCGGTCGCCACCTGCTACGCTGTGGCCAGACGCCACCCTCACCCCGGGCTCTCTTGACAGACACACAGCCTGCCAGCTCGTCATGCCAATGACAAAAGCATAGCACAACTAAGGACATTTACTCTTTCATTGTAGTTAGTTTTAGTTAGTTTTGTAAACCTACAATATTATATATATATATTTGTTATTATTTCAGTTAACGACCATGTTTTTTCACATCTAGTTTTCGTTTTTTCGTTCGTCTTTGTTAACGATTATAGCCTTGCAAGTACCACCGCATATTTAGTAGAGTGGAAAACCTCACATCTTTGAACAGACACCGGGGTTATCATTTCCCCGCAGTCATCATGTGGCTGAAGCTCCATATTTGATGGTCATGTGATGACTAGTGTGCAAACTCCATCCACCAATGAAGACTTTGATATGTGGTTCAAGGAACTGCAAAAAAAATTAGTGAGTGGACCTCAGCTGAAACTTTATTTTCAAAAAACAATGAATTCAGTTTCCTCCAGAAAAGGACTTATAAGGTATCAAGAACCAGGGCTGCCAACTTTTCAGTTTACTTTGGAGTGTGATTCGGTACTGGTCTTCTGTGACAGTACCCACCACTCCTTTTTGTAAATATAGATAAAAAACATTGTGTGGCAACATTCCCACCCTGGAGAACCAGTGGTGATGTGTTTTATGGCAACCAACAGAAATTAGTTTGCCGGAGCTGAAGGTGGAGTAACCGTAGCAACAGCAGCAGCTAACCACGGCAGAACTGATTCGTCATCAGCATGTGTCTATAGAATAGTGTAGTTACTTTCTCTGTCAGGAGGGGGGTGTTGTATACATATACAACTACTTAAAATAATACTTTAGCCAGTATGACCACTAAGCAGGTGTTAAATTTCATTCCTGCATCTTACCTGTCTCTTTCCTTCCCACTTTTTGGCTCAGAGGCTGGTATATAAAGTACCAGGAAGGAGCACTTCATGAGGTGGAGGTCCAGAGGAGGGAATGGACCAACTCAGAGCTAAATTTTGACAACATCCTTAATGGCATGCTGGCTCTCTTCACCATTTCTACGTTTGAAGGCTGGCCAAAGTGAGTCATGATCTGTCTATTCATTTCAGTATTGACAGCATTCAGTAATCTGCTGCAAGCAGCATCTATGCACTAATGTCCGTGTGTTATTCATCTAGGATACTTTATAAAGCCATTGATTCAAACTTAGAGGATAAGGGCCAGTGTACAACAACCGAGTGGCCATCTCAATCTTCTTTATCATCTACCTCATCCTTATTGCCTTCTTCATGATGAACATTTTTGTGGGCTTCGTCATCGTCACCTTCCAGGAGCAAGGAGAGCAAGAATATAAGAACTGTGAGCTGGACAAAAACCAGGTGTGTTAAAAATGACTGGAAATGAAACTGTTGCAACCCTGCTATTCTGTTTAAGGTTACCGTCAAACACATTTTTCATGTACTTCAGCTAAATACAACAAATAAAGGAGCTCTTGTTCTTGCTGTCAGGAAGTTGGCATCTAGTTTTCTTATGTGCAGCATAAAGTATCAAAATAGCCCACCATCACATGCTCACACTGCAGCAGTGTGGGATGCAGAACTTGGGAAATTACATTTTGGGGACATTCACGTCTTATGACTGAGCATTTTTGTTATGAAGTTATAGCTTGCTGGCATCTTAATACAGATGTACAGTGTGTACATTGTTCAACCAAAACAATATCCTCAATTCCCTCAATACTTATCTTCAATAAGCAATAATTGACACTTGTCAAAAATGATGGATAAAGTATCATCTAATATGTCATTGTTACATTTTCTGTCTGCTGTTGGCCTCAGAAATCTCTCACTCTGATTGATCACATGTTTACTTGGTCTAAGCCCTGCATCTCCCATCACCTTCTTTTTAACTCCTCCAGCGCCAGTGTGTGCAGTATGCTCTTAAGGCCCGACCTCTGCGATGTTATATTCCAAAGAACCCCTACCAGTATCAGGTGTGGTACATCGTCACCTCCTGCTACTTTGAGTACCTTATGTTCCTTCTTATTATGCTCAACACCATGTGTCTGGGAATGCAGGTATGAATACAACACATGCCACATACATTTTAATAATTACTTTAAAACATTTGAGTAATTATAATAATTACAAGCTAATAACAAATAGACAGTCGAAGGAAAAAGTATGCAAACCCTTTAGAATTACCTGGATTTCTGCCTATACTCGTCATAAAATGTGATCTGATCTTCAAAACAGTAGACAAACATGTGAACCCCTAGCCTACTGACTTCTTTGGAGGTGTTGGTTAGAGCTACCCTGCCCTATAAAAAAACACCAATTTTAATTTGGATATTCTCATGAAACATTGCCTGATGTCAACCATGCATTGAACAAAAGAGCTCTCAGAAGACCTAAGATTAAGAATTGTTGACTTGCATGAAAGTAAAGTAGGAGTAGCCGTCCTGCAAAGATGACTGCACAAGCACAGAGCAGAATGCTCAATGAGGTTAAGAAGAGTCCTAGAGTGTCAGCTGAAGATTTAGAGAAATGTGTGGAACAGGCTAACATCTCTGTTGACGACTCTGCGATATGTCAAACAATGAACAAGAATGGAGTACATGGGAGAACACCAAGGAGGAAGCCACTGCTGTCCAAAAAAACATGGCTGCACGTCTGAAGAGTACCTGGATGTTCCACAGCACCACTGACAAAATATTCCATGGACTGATGAAACAGATGATCAACGTTGAGGTGTTAGGCAGGAACACACAACCCTATGTTTGGAGGAAAAAGGGCAAAGCACACCAACATCAAAACCTCATCCCAACTGTGAAGTATGGTTGAGGGGGAATCATGGTTTGGGGTTTCTTTGCGGCCTCATGACTTGGAAGGGTTGCTATCATCGACGGGAAAATTAATACCACAGTTTAATGTCGTGTAAAAAAATTCAAGACTTAGGCCAGATGAAAAAGCTTGAACTTTTCCCAACATTTCAGCAAAACAGAGACCTTTTATAGCTTTGTTTCTAACATGACACCATTTTTTGGCTCTCTTTCCTGCTGCACCTGGTTCTGGGGAAATTCCCAGAAAGTGAAGTGGCTGTGGTGGATTCACTATTCGGCTGGTCAGCAGAGCAGAGATGTCTGCCTGACTGTACACTTCTCTACCTCTCTGTAGCCTTGGCATGCTTATTAAGCCATCTCAGCCACACCTGGCTTTTCTGGAAAGTCCCAGTGAGCTGGTGTCTTTACTGTGTGCTAGAGACAGGGCATCCTTACTGTGCACCCTCACTCAGCCGTGTGTTTTCCTCACCCTCTGCACACACTTTTTGCTTACCCCCACACATACACACACACACACACACTCTCACACACACACACACATACACACACTCACAGAGCTACAAATTTTATACACTGTGATCTTAACTTTAGCTCTCTATATATATAGATAATAAATCCCCCTCTCACCCCTTGCGGGGTGGTATGTGTCATCCTCAAGCTCGGGTCCTCTACCAGAGGCCTGGGAGTTTGAGGGTTCTGCGCAGTATCTTAGCTGATCCTAGGACTGCACTCTTCTGGACAGAGACCTCTGATGTTGTACCAGTGCTCTGATTACCACTGGCACCACTGTTGCTTTTACTCTCCCCATCTTGTCTAACTCCTCTTTCAGCCCCTGGTATTTTTGAGCTTCTTGTGTTCCTTCTTCTTGATGCTGCTGTCGCTTGGGATTAGTGCCGCCATGATTAGTGCTTCTGTGCTGGCCTTTAGTCCAGCCATTTCTAGCCACTGGTAGGATTTCAGCCACTTCTTCTACTTGTCTGTGGTACATGCCGTGCAGCGGCTTATCTCTCCATGAAGGTTCTTCGTCTTCCTTGTTCCATGTGTGTATATATACTTGCTTGTTTCCTCAGTCTGTGTCCGGTCATTGTCATTTGTAGTGTGAATACGCCCTGTCGTGTCATGTGTGAGGCATCCTATCTGTTTCTGTGCTGTCTTGGATTATGGATTAATCTACTACCTGTAAGCCTTGTATATTGCTGTTGTTTGGATTAAAGTCCCTGAATTGCATTTCCGCTCTGGTGTCTTGCATTTGGACTCACCCCTGCTCTGCGCTCACCACATCGTGAAATGTACAGTCTCAGGTTGCTGGATTTGGAGTGAAACCCTCCATGCTTTGTGAGGAGCTTTTTGTCGTGATGTCAGTGGCCTTTATCTCCTCCTTTGGCCAGTTTATTATACCAGCGGGGTATCTGATGACTGGCAGGGTGTATATGTTGATGGCACAGATCTTGTTCTTCCCATTCACTTTTCAGAACCTGCCTTACTCTTTGTAGCCTGCAGGACCCCAAGGTATTTGTAGCTGTCCTGAACTGCAATATTGCCTTCTGGTAGTTCAACCCTCTCGGTTCTGATCATTTTCCCTCATCTGACCACACTTCCAGTTCAAATGACATTCCATTGTCGTTGCTGTAGATCCTGGTAATGTGGATCAGTGAGTCAATGTCTAGCTCATTTCTGGCATACAGCTTGATGTCATCCATGTAGAGGAGGTGACTAATGGTCATTCCATTTCGGAGCCAGTCTTTGTGATTATCTGGCTGAGGGGGTTCAGGCCTATGCAGAACAGCATCGGTGATATGCCGCACTTGATGTTGACTTGTGCAATTGGCTTTGAGTTGGCTTCCAGACTTGTTTTCCACAGCCCCATTGAGTTCTTGATGAAGGTTATTAGTGTCCTGTTGATCTTGTACATTTCCAAGCATTTCAGTATCCATTATATGTGGCATTTAGTTGTAGGCTTTCTTGTAGTCAAAAAAAGGCGGTGCACAGGTTGGTGTACCTGGTCTTGCAGTCTCGAGTGACTGCTCTATTGACCAGTAGCTGGTGCTTGTGTTGCATATAGGATATTTATAGGAAAATGGCCACTTACTTGTGTGTTATTTTATAGGTATGCATCTTGCATGTTTACATTCACCCTCCCATTCAATTTTCAATAGTTCTATTTGCAGTTAAAAGGGCACACGATCACTGCGGGTATATAAGCTGTGGGTTGTGCTGCGTTCTTCAGTTGGCAGTTAACACAAGAAAGAAAGTAAAACAACTGAGGACCAGCCAGCTCACCGCCGTGTATTTCATTTATTCTCTCTGGTGGGTAAATGTCACATAAGCATATCGTTTGTCAATAATCTAGATATATTTAGTGTACCTTTTACAAATAGTAATATATGTACTCGGTAGTTATTTGTGATATTTGTGCAAGCAAGGTATCCTACTGGGACGAGTTGGCACTAGCTTGCCGTTTATGTCAAAGGGAGTCAGATGTAATGTTTGCCTGACTCCACTGATACATATGTATGTTTAGGATTTATTGTTAGAGTGTTTTGTAGTTCACATTTTCTTTGTTTTATTTCATTACATCCAAACGTTTCGCTAATAGAATGCAGACCATCAGAGGGAGAGCCCGGACCGTTGATTAGCAGCGCTGTCGTTTACCGTTGCCTAGACAACCAGGCAGCCCACATGTTGTATTATGTCATATGTAAACAAAGAGGATGAATGAGAGAGATTGATCATTAATGTAATTGTTTTGTGACTGAAGAAGGCCAGTAAGCAGATAAATTAATTGTTAAATACTGGTAATGGTAAGAATTGTAATTTTATAATTGTAGATACTAGAATGGTAGAGAATGAGCACTTTTAAAATCCAATATAGAATTTATAACCTTTAATAGTTTACTTTTGTATAACAGCCCATTTTATGTTTATTATGAGTCTTTTTTTTGTCTTATTATGAGTTATCTTATTGATTTTAAATGGAAATATTTAGGGAATATATAGTTATTACTGTATATTGATATATTGAGATTTTAATATCAAATTGTGATTTTTGTGTTATATTGTTATTGTTTATATTGTCATTTGTCTTGTCCCAACGAAGTTCAGTTGGCAGTTAACACAAGAAACAAAGTAAAACAACTGAGGACCAGCCAACTCACCACCGTGTATTTCATTTATTTATATATATTTATTTATTTATTCAGACCAACCGCAAATTTTCGCCTTGCGACGCTTTCCTCGCGTGAGTACATTCGCTGCAAGTGTTCTCACACAACGCGAGAAGGCGATTTTAACGCGATAACGTGAATAAACACAACTCGCCATTACTACAGCTGTATGAACCCAAAGTAAACATTTTGCTGTGATTAAATAGCAATAAACAGATCACACTGATGCCGAAATAACTACAATATGATGCAGATTTGTTAAACATATGAATTCATGCTTTGTCAGGTCTGTCAGCAAGACAGCAGGACAACAACTTCTAAAATGTTTGTTTTCTGAATGGAGTTTGGATCGATCAGGGCTATGCTATGCTAACTTGGTCACAGTAAAGTACAGTGATAGCTGGAATAAAGTTACAGACACATGTTTTCTGAACTCACCAGGTAGTTCAACCTCCTCGCTTTCTTTTCTCCAAGTAATGTCCAGTTTTGTCTGTTTTTTATATAAATATAAAGTTAGCTAGCTGCTGAGAAGCTCCAGTGAAGATAAATCAACGTTGTAATCCCAAAAACTAAAGTAAAAAGCTAATTTGATAAAAGCAGTTTACTCCGATCTCCTCCCGCAAGTAAACAGCGTAGTTGTTAGAACATAATCCAGTCTGACTACGGGTGGTTATTTGTCCAAAGGTTGCAGCGCTGCTCCCTGCTCCTCTCCCCCAAGTTTAGCAGCTCTCAGCTGGCCAGCAGATTCCCCTGCTCTGCCCGGCCCTCCCCACACATCGCTCTGAAGCCGTCGGTGATGTACGGAAAATCTCAACACTGATACGCTATCGCGACTCAGCGTTAACTATTCTGGATGGGTCCCATCCATCATCTGTTGGTTCATTGCCAGGCATTCATGGAGTGCAGTTAGTTTCTTCAGCCAGTAGGTGAGGATCATGTCAGGGCCTGGTGCTGTCCAGCTCTTCATACCTTCTTGGATGTCTGCCATACTGGATCTTCTTCTGAGAGATTGCTGTCATCTGTTCTTAGATCAACTAGCCACTTGAGCATGCCTCCTTCTCTATCTTATACTCATTTGTGAAAAAAAACAGAGGGGCAGGAAGTTTAGAAACATTTTTATTCATAAAAATAAATCATGAGAACTTGAACTTCTTAACTGCCTTTGTAGGAATATTTAAATATTTTTTTAACTTATAAACTTATGAAGTAGCCTAGTGCGCTTATTCAATATTCAATATAACGGCCTATCTTAAACTTTCCCCACACATAACTATGATCATTCACAACAAAAAAACATGGTAAACAAGAAATTAAATCCCCCCTCCCAGTACCATGCCACTCAGCCAGGCATGTCAAAACATTTATTTTTGAATCGCAAAATGCAATGTCACAACGTAGTGTCTTCTCATTTGCAATTTTAGGAATTTTTGTGATGGTCCTGTAAAATATGATGATATGCTGCACTTTACCCTTTTCATTGTTCCCAGCTAGCTATAGTTTTCGCACTGAAATATTACATAAATATTTGTGCTTGGTGACATTCTGAAAAGCCGTACATGGATCAAAGCTAATGGACCATTAGATAAATTAGCCACAATTTCATCTATTGTCTCAGAAGGCTAATGATGACAGTGGGTGGCCCATTTCGGATTTTATTGTTCTAACCAGACCGTTCTCATCTCAGGGCGTCCAATACCAACCCTTTCAGAAAAAGTGACAAGCTTAGTTATTTGACGCTAAAGGTACCCTTCGGCGTCTCTATGAGATGCTCCTGGATGCGTCTGGAAGTGCTAACTAGCTAGCGCTTTAGCCTCAATTGAGTAAAACCCCGTAGGTGTAACGGGACACTAGGCTGCTTGTCATCATAGAAACAGATCATCAGCTTGTGATGTTTATTCCTTCAGTAATATGCTTCCTTCCCTACGACACACAGCTCCACTGCCCAGCGGAGCTGCTCTAGGCTATTACTCGTGAGGTGTAACCAGTCAGATAGCGCTGTGGACGGGATATTGAGTGAGCAATGAATACTGAGAGTGGCTCTACATCAGAGCCAGCCAAAGTACTGCATTTTAAAATAAAATTGACTCTACCAAACCACGGATCGATTCAAGATGAGATTTATGATCTGCTGCAGTGCTGGTGTTGTGCAGAGTTGTGAGTGAACTTTGCGGGACATTCGAATCATTTATCACCATTGATGAACCACACAAAGAATATTATTTTGTTTTTAAATAGTACTTGGAATAGACCCACGAGGAGCCGCGACGTGCATGCAATTGTAGGCGAGTCGGGGGACACAACTCTGTGCATGACTTGTGAATGGCAGGGGAGCAGAGCAAAAATAAAATGGGTTCACATACTTTTTCCACCTTGCACTGTGAATGTTTACACAGTGTGTTCAATAAAAACACAATTGTTTGTGTGGTATTAGTTTAAGCAGACATGTTTGTCTATTGCTGTGACTTAGATGAAGATCAGATTACATTTTATGACCAATTTATGGAGAAATCCAGGTAACCCAAAGCGTTCACATACTTTTTCGTGCGACTGTAGATAATCATTTTGTACCTTTTTAATCCACAGCACTGTAACCAGTCAGACCATGTTACTCACCTGTCGGATATGCTGAACGTGATATTCACTGTGCTCTTCACTGTGGAGATGATCCTCAAACTCATGGCTTTCAAAGCCAAGGTTAGTAAAGCCAAAGTCTGTAGCGTGCTTGAAATAGCCATCAAAAAATGTGATAATGAATCTCCTATACCTTAAGATACTGGGGAAATGAAAATAAATGTTCCCAGGTTGGATGCGGATCAGACGCTGGAACACACACTGCAGCAAATGCTTTTTGAGCATGTGAAACAGTTGCCTCATAATCAGTTTGTGAAAGAGGGAAAAAAAATTTCTCCCAACGTGGGATCAAACACACAACCTTCAAGGATAGAGTCTTTAACAAATGACCAAACACTGTAACTTTCATTTTAAATATTATGTTTTATGTTCTCACCCACCATCTAAAGCTGATGATACACGGGGCAACTTTTTGAGCAATGTTGCTGGGCAATCTTGCTGGTGGCAAGTCCGACTATGTTTTGAACGGATAGCGGTGGTGCGGGGAGGGTGTAGTAATCTTTACTCATTACCATTGACGGCAACATTGCCCAGCACCATTGCTCTAAAAGTTGCTCTGTGTATCATCAGCTTAATGGATAAAAAAAATTTCTTTTGTTTTTGTTGTTCACTGAAGACATTTGGGTTTAAGATCAAAAGATGAGTATGAGACAAGAGTTCAGAATTTCAGCTCTCATTTCGTGGTATTCACATCTAGATGTGTTAAACAACTCAGCACATACCACCCTTTGTTTTTTCAAGTGAGCAAAACTATTGGAACATGTGACTGACAGATGTTTCTTGTTGCCCAGGTGTCGCCTTTTAGGTTGATTGTCCAAACATTAAATAGCTCTGTATGACTAGTCTAAGTTTTCATCCTTGGTTCAAACCTATAAAGACTGCATTTCCTGTTAAAGAGGATAAATCAACATGAAGACCAGAGAGCTGTCTATGGGAGAAAAGCAAGCCATTGTCAAGCTGAGAAAAGAAGGAAAATCGAGCAGAGCCATTGGACAAACATCGGGCACAACAAGCACAACAATGTGGAACGTCCTGAAAAGGAAAGAAACTACTGGTGTACTGAGCAACAGACGTCCAACAGGTCGGCCAAGGAAAACAACAGTAGTTGATGAGCTGTGAAGAAAACCCCCAAATCAGTGACATCAGCAACGACCTCCACAGTGCAGAGGTGAAGGTATCACAATCCACTGTTGGATGAAGACTCAGAGAGCAGAAATATAGAGGCTGCACCACAAGATGCAAACCACTCATCAGCAGGAAGAATCGGACTGGCCAGATTGAAATGTGCAAAGAAGTACAGAGATGAGCCGCAAAAGTTCTGGAACACAATCTGATGGACTGATGAGACCAAGATTAATCTCTAGCAAAGTGATGGAAAGGCCAAAGTGTGGAGATAGAAAGGAACTGCTTCTGATCCGAAGCAAACAAGCTCATCTGTGAAGCATGGTGGAGGTAATGTCATGGCGTGGGCGTGCATGGCTGCTTCTGGAACAGGCTCATTAATATTTATTGATGATGGAACTGATGATGGTAGCAGCAGAATGAATTCAGAAGTGGACAGAAACATTTTGTCTGCCAATTTACAGAGAAATGCATTGAAACTAATGGGGAGGAAGTTTATCATGCAGCAGGACAATGAGCCAAAGCACACTGCCAACAAAACAAAGGAGAAAAAAGGTTTTAGACTGGCCAAGTCAGTCACCTGACCTTAACCCAATAGAGCTGCATTTCACCTCCTTACGAGGAGACTGAAGGGAGAAACACGCCGAAACAAACAAGCAAGGGTTATGCCACCAAATATTAAATGTTATTTACTTTAAGATTATTTGTTCCATTACTATTGCTCACCTAAGAATGCTGTGGTCTAATACAAACAGTGGTATGTCCTAAGTTGTTTAACACATCTAGATGTCAATACCAGAAAATGAGAGCTGAAATTCTGAACTCTTACTCATACTCATCTTTTGATCTTAAACCCAAATTTCTTCAGTGAACAACAAAACAAAGGAATTTGCCTTACCGTTCCAATACTTTTGGATGGGACTGTATTACTTCTTCTGCGAACGTACGTATTCAACATAGTGATGAGCGTCTACACTGCCAGTCTGTTTTTGGCTGCTGTAGAAACATGGCGGCGCAACATGCTGACATCCATGTAAGAGAAACCTGCGGTTATGTAGGTAGAAATGGTTCATTGTAAGGTAATAAAAACATAATGGTTCATTATGTAAGGTCTTTATACACCACTGAATGATATAGTTATGGATATTATATTGCATTTCTGTCAATAGATCCTCAGAAATATTACACACTTGACCTTTGGCCAACTGTAAGATCTGTTCATTCCCCAACCTTCTGGTTCCACATGGTCACTGTTTTCTTTCGTTCTGTCTTTGCTGCTTGTTGAGTTGTGGCAGTGGTTATGTTTTTAAAGCTGCATTATTTGAGGATGTGGGGAAATGTGAAAATAGACAGGGAGGGTTTGACAAAAGATGCTACTGTGCATTATGGGAAGTGTATGATTGAGTGCTTTGGTAGCTTGACCAATATTAATGGCTATAAGTCAGGATATCTGCGCATCGGCAGTGTTGATAGTGACCAGTTTTTCAAAAGAAAAGAACTAAAATGTTATGGGTTCCAAAGAGGATGTCTGACATATATGCAGTATACAACTTGTAAAACAAGTGTCATCGTGTGTGAATAGACTTCACAGTAATAATAATAATAATAATCTTTATTTGTAGAGCACTTTTCAAAAACAAGTTACAAAGTGCTTTAACAAGTGTAAAGACAATAATACACAAAATACAATAATACAAAGACAATACATGATAAAAGCAAGAAAACATTGAAAAGACTAAAATACACGTTTAAGTTAAATATAAAATAAGTAAAATAGAATAAAATGAAAGGGATAAAATAAAGTCAAATAAAATCGGGAAAGGCTAAAATTTTGATGGGATCTAAACCAAGTTTCTTTAAAAGTGGCTCCACGCAAGCCGTTTTAAAATAATCAGGGACACAACCAGTAGATAGAGAGCTGTTAAAAACAGAGATCAAATGGGACCCAACAGAATCCATTACTAATTCAGTAAAAACTTTGTAGGTATTACATCAAGTGGGCTAGAAGACACTCTTATTTGTGATACTCTTTGTAAAAGCTCAGACAAGTCGATGGGATAAAACTGGTTAAAACTCTCTTGTTGCTGCCGCGGGGGTAATAGAGGCTCTGACACCACCTTATTGGTAAAATAAGATAAAAACAATTCACAGTCATCATTACTTCCAGCTGAGGCACAAGGAGGGGTTGGGTTTACCAGCTGATCCACAGTCTTAAACAGAAACCTGGGATTGTGTTTATGTGTAGTAATGAGTTCAGAAAAATAGTGTGTTCTCGCATCCCTAACCATGTTATTGTAGTTAATTAATAAATCCTTCAGACTGAGGTAATGGACTTGGAGACTGGATTTTTTCCATCTGCGCTCTGCTTTCCTGCATTCCCTTTTTAGGCTGCGAATGCTGTCATTTATCCAGGGTTGCTTACTAGCTTTAGACGTAGGCCTAACCTTTAGAGGAGCAGTAATATTTAGTGATGACAAGCAGATATGATTGAATGATCGACCAGATTGTTGGTGTTGGAATCAGACAGGTGTTGGCTTTGGCTCTGAAAGAATGCGCAAAACTTTGAAACACTTTGTTCATTAAAGATGCGAGAACACACAGAGCTTGGTGAGGCGGCATTCAATTCAATTCAATTCAATTCAGTTTTATTATATAGCGCCAAATCACAACAACAGTTATCTCACAGCGCTTTTCATAAAAGAGCAGGTCTAGACCATACTCTGTGATGATATTTACAGAAGCCCAACAGTTCCCACCAAGAGCAAGCACTAGGCGACAGAGGCAAGGAAAAACTTCCTTTTAAGAGGCAGAAACCTCGAGCAGAACCATGGCTCAGGGTGGGCGGCCATCTGCCTCGACCGGTTGGGGTGAAGGAGAGAGAGAGAGAGAGAGAGAGAGAGAGAGAGAGAGGGATGTAAGGAGAGAGAGAGGGGAGGGAGGCAGCCTACACAATATACACACAGAGGTGCAGACAGTGAAGGTAATGTTGCTATAGACTAAATGAAAAATGGTACAGAAAAATAGTGTTAATTGTAACCATCGTAATGTTAATGATTATAATAACAATAATAACAATAAGACTAGCAACAATAGTCGTTGCAGCAGAGGGTGTCGAGCAGGAACACGGGGGAAGCAGGTGACCCGCAACCACAGATCCAGACTCCACAGCTCCAGAGCCAGAAAACCTGCAGGAAGTGATAGGAGAGAGGAGAGAGACGAGAAAGCACAAGACTACCAGAAAGGGGAGAAGTTGTGTTAGTAACATGCAATAATGGGATAAGGTTGCATACAGAGGGAGAAAGTAGAGGAGAGAGGAGCTCAGTGCATCATGGGAAATCCCCCGGCAGTCTAGGCCTATAGCAGCATAACTAAGGGATGGTTCAGGACTCACCTGAGCCAGCCCTAACTATAAGCTTTATCAAAGAGGAAAGTCTTAAGCCTACTCTTAAATGTGGAGATGGTGTCTGCCTCCTGAACCCAAACTGGAACCTGGTTCCACAGGAGAGGAGCTTGATAGCTGAAAGCTCTGGCTCCTAGTCTACTTTTGGAGACTCTAGGAACCACAAGTAACCCTGCATTCTGGGAGCGCAGTGTTCTGGTGGGGTAGTAAGGTGCCTGACCATTAAGAGCTTTGTAGGTAAGAAGAATGATTTTAAATTCTATTCTGGATTTTACTGGAAGCCAATGCAAAGAAGCTAAAACAGGAGAAATGTGATCTCTTTTCCTGGTTCCTGTCAGAACACGTGCTGCAGCATTCTGGATCAGCTGAAGAGTCTTAATGGACTTTTTCGAGCAGCCTGATAATAAGGAATTGCAGTAATCCAGCCTAGAAGTAACAAATGCATGGACTAGTTTTTCTGCATCATTTTTAGACAGGATGTTCCTGATTTTCGCAATATTACGTAGGTGAAAAAAGGCGGTCCTTGAAATTTGCTTGATGTGAGACTTAAACGACATGTCCTGATCAAAGATAACTCCAAGATTCCTCACAGTGGTGCTGGAGGCCAAGGCGATGCCATCCAGGGAAACTATATCTTTGGATAATGCGTCACGGAGGTGCTTAGGCCCCAGAGCAATAACTTCAGTTTTATCTGAGTTTAACATGAGAAAATTACAGGTCATCCAGGTTTTAACATCCTGAAGGCACATTTGAAGTTTAGCTAACTGATGAGTTTCATCTGGCTTGATCGATAGATATAACTGAGTATCATCTGCATAACAATGAAAGCTTATGGAATGTTTCCTGATAATATTGCCTAAAGGAAGCATATATAAAGTGAAGAGGATTGTTCCAAGGACAGATCCTTGAGGAACTCCATGAGTAACTTTGGCGTGCATGGAGGACTCATCGTTAACATGTACAAACTGAAATCGATCTGATAAATAGGACTTAAACCAGCTTAGAGCGGTTCCTTTAATGCCAATGAAATATTCCAGTCTCTGCAATAGGATCTGATGGTCAATGGTATCAAATGCAGCACTAAGATCTAATAAAACCAGTACAGAGACAAGTCTTTTGTCTGATGCAATAAGGAGGTCATTAGTAATTTTCACCAGTGCTGTCTCTGTGCTATGATGAGCTCTAAATCCTGACTGAAAATCCTCAAATAAACTATTGCTCTGTAGAAAGTCACACAGCTGTTTAGCAACTGCTTTCTCCAGAACCTTAGAGAGAAATGGAAGGTTAGATATAGGTCTATAGTTGGCTAAAACATAAGGGAAGCAAAACAGTCTAAACATGTATCTGGTTCTACAGCTGTTTCTAAGGTTCCTGAGTTAAGAGATAAGTTGGTGCCAATTGAGGGCAGGTCTTGGTGAATTTTGTCTCTAATAGCTAGAATTTTATCATTAAAGAAGCTCATGAAATCATAACTACTGAGAGCTATGGGAATACTTGGCTCAATAGAGACTAATGACTGGGAGGCGTGGATTCATTTAGGCTAACATATTCTCCATCACCCAGCCAGGTTTCAGTAAGATAAAATAAATCAATATCATGATCTGATATTAGTTCATTTACTAGTACACCTTTAGAAGAGAGAGATCTGATGTTTAAGAGTCCACATTTAACTCTCCTATTCATTTGCACTATTGCTCTTGTGGTTTTAATTTTTATGAGGTTTTTATGCACAGCTCCTCTTCTGTTTACCTTTTTAAATAATTTCGATGGTCGGGGGACAGACACCGTCACTATAGGATTTTCACTAAGTAACTCCTGGAATGGAGGAGCAGAGAAGTGTGTTAGACTGCGACTCTGCGTAGGGTTTTGGGTGGGTAACTGCTGAAAAAGAAGGGCAGAGAAGTGTGTTAAACTGCAACTCTGCCTCCTGGTCTCAACTCTGGGTTGTCATGGATTTGGTCCACTAATAAACTTGGCCAGATTTCTAGAAATGAGAGCTGTTCCTTCCCAAGTGGGATGGATGCCGTCTCTCCGGATCAGACCAGGTCTTCCCCAGAAAGTCTGCCAATGATCAACAAAGCCCACATCGTTTGCTGGACACCACCTCGACAACCAGCGGCGGAATGACGACATGCGGCTATACATGTCATCACTGGTCAGATTTGGCAGGGGTCCAGAGAAAACTACGGTGTCCGACATTGTTTTTGCGTATGTACACACCGACTCAACATTAATCTTAGTGACCTCCGATTGGCGTAACCGGGAGTCATTACCGGCAACGTGAATAACAATCTTACTGTATTTACGTTTATCCTTAGCCAGCAGTTTCAAATAAGACTCAATGTCGCCCGCTCTGGCCCCAGGGATGCACTTAACTATGGCCGCTGGCTTCGCTAAATTCACGTTTCTCAAAACGATCAGAGTTGGTTTCTCAGCGGGTGTGTCGCTGAGTGGGGAAAATCTGTTAGAAACGTGAACAGGTTGATGATGCCCTGTGGACTTTGAATGCTTACGACTATTCCTCCTTCGGACAGTCACCCAGCCCCCCCCCTTTCCTGGCTGCACAGGGGATGCCGGGGGACGGCTACCAGAGGCTAACTCTGGCTGTTCCGCACCGACTACCGGGGACTGGCTAGCTACAGTAGCATGAGTAACAGGCGAATCGCAGCTAAAAACAATACATCTGTGGTCAGATATGGTCATGTCCACTAATTCCACAGAGGAAATGCTGACACCCAGGGTAAAAACCAAGTCCAGTGTATGACCACGGTTATGTGTTTGCCCTTTGACATGTTGTCAGGGTTCCTGTGGCTCCTTAAAAAGTCTTAAACGGTCTTAAATTGAAATCTGGGAAATTAAGGTCTTAAATTGTCGATTTGCCGATGGTGCATTTAAGGCGGTTGTCACATGCTGTCGCCTAAAACGCTTAGGTGTAATTAGTGTATTTGTATGATTTTCTTTTAGTAATTGACAATGTGAGACCCCCCGATTAATAGAATTCATATGTTACGTTTACGTTTTCTGCAGACGTTGACGTCTGGCTGCCTGTCATGTTATCGTAAATCGTGGCTGCAAGATTGGGAGACGCAAGTTAAAGTGGTTGGAGGAAGACCGATCGTTCTGTCTAGCTCAAACAACTGTAGCCTACATCACGTTCTCCTCTCATTTGCGCAGGTCCAAAAAATTATCTATAACTACAGGTTAAAGTAACTTTTTAAATTATGTCTTTCACCATGATTTGTTTTCCTCCATGGATTATTTACCTCTCTTTAGCAATGCGCCTGTGCATTAACTCGGCCGGAAAGTGAAAGTGAAACTTAAGTTCAGTCCGGCATCGTTTTCTTGCTACCTTTCTTTATTAGGTGTAAGTTACTCTTTTCTGTTATTTCAGTAGTTTATATTGAGTTTAACACAGCAGTGTATGAGTAAGGGCTGGCTGATATGGACAAAAATAGTAAAATCATTATTCAGTCATTATTTTTATTATTATAAGTTTGAAGGATGATTTTTTTGCTCCTGAAGAAACCAGATGGTTAATTGTGCTTTTAAACTTTTCTTTATGGTCAGAACATGACAAACACTTGATGCCAAAAAGCAGCCTGGTATCAAACAGTGGATCACTTCACAGAGCTGAGGTAGAACATTCAAAACAACAAATATGCATGAGAAAAATGATCAGTCCCTTTTCCTCAACACAATAAACATCTTAATAGAAAAGAAAGTGCTGATTCGTTTGTGATTCAAATGAATTAAATCAAATATTTATTGAACATTTGTTATTGAGGAAGATTGTATCATGATAATCCTGGTGGATGGACTGGTGACCTGTCCAGGGTGTACCCCGCCTTTCGCCCAATGTCAGCTGGGATTGGCTCCAGCCCCCCCCCCCCGCAACCCTGTACGCACGATAAGCAGTTGATGATGGATGGATGGAGGATGTATCACGATAATTACCATTATCGTTTTATTGCCCAGCCCTAGTTCACCTGAGCATGATCAGTAATCGGCACTGGGGCGGCTGTGGCTCAGGAGGTACAGCGGGTTGGCCGTTAATCGGAAGATCGGCGGTTCAATCCCTGGCTCCCCCTGGTTGCGTGTCGAAGTGTCCTTGGGCAAGATACTGAACCCCGAATTGCCCCTGGCGGCTATTCCGCCAGTGTATGAGTGAGTGTGAGTGTGAATGTTAGTTTCCGTTTGAGCACTTAGGCTCAGTGTATGAATGTGTGTGACTGGTGAATGCAGATGTAGTGTAAAAGCGCTTTGAGTGGTCGAAAAGACTAGAAAGGTGCTATACAAGTACGGAACATTTACATTCACTGTTTGAGCACGTTTATGCACAACACTGAATGGACACACTGTCTAGGCGTCTGTCTGCATTGTCAGACTTTTGGATTTTATTTGCAGAAGACTGCGACCGATGCATATTTCTGCCCAAGTAGTTGTTGTATGTGGATAGATAACGCATTTGCATCCATGTGGTCATGGTGTGCTTTTTCGTGTACTTTAATGTAGCCAAGTGCTACCCGATCACAATCTGATCACCCAAAAGGCATTTTAATGCCAGGTGTAAACAGCATCTATGTTCCTCAATTCGGAATATGCAAAGTCATTCACCTGTGGTGAAAATGAATCATCATTAAGAGATCAAACGTGCGTCTGTTTTTCTATCAAAGAAATTGTTTCAAAATTTGAGGTCTTAATTTTATATTTGTTGAGGTCTTAAAAGGTCTTAAAAAGCATTAAATTTGACTTTTAAAATGGTGCAAGAACCCTGTTTGTTTGAAGTTAAAGGAAGTGGCCATATTTAAAAAGTCAGTTGCATTAACATTGGCGGGGTCATCAACATGAATATTAAAATCGCCACAAAGAACAATTCTGTGATAATTTAAAACCAGAGTAGATAAAAATTCAGGGAGTTTTGGTAAAAATCCTCCAGGCGGTTTTGGGGGGGCGATAAATTATAACAAAATATAGACAGTGGAGAGAAACAGACGGACAACAAACAGCGTCCGTGAGCTTCCCATGAACTGGGTGTCTTGTTTTCACAGGCTACATATACAGTACTACATGCATGTGCACAGTACTTTTATGAGAAAAGAGGTACACAAATAAACATATGCATGCATACATGGATCATAGTAAGTGACTTCATGGCGAGTGACATTCCACACACACATTTACTCTTGTTTTGTCAAAGGGTTATTTTGGAGACCCCTGGAACGTCTTTGACTTTGTCATCGTCATTGGAAGTGTTGTGGACGTGATGCTGAGCGAAATTGATGTGAGTATCACACTTTGCTTTCTCTCTCTCTCTCACTCACTCACTCACTCACACCTTCATACTTTCATATGTACAAATATTTAATCACACAGCACATAAATACTATTGTGGGGGGTGTGCATTGATTTAAACATCATTTACTGATCTTATCTAATCTAATCTAACTTTAAGTATAAACTGTACACATCTTTTGGATCTATCTATCTATCAATCATTTACGGATCTAATCTAATCTAATCTAACTTTAATTATAAACTGTACACATCTTTTGGATCTATCTATCTATCTATCAATGGAGATTGAAGAATCAAAGGTGAGATGATTATCACAGATAAGCCTAGATGGTTTTTCAATAGGCTACCCTATCAGAAAGAAAATCATTAAAACCAAACTTATAAGGAGTACATGCTGAATAGATAGAACATTTTATTAAATTGAGACTAGACCTAACAGGATATAAACATTTCTCTGGCTTCCTGTATAAAGTGTCAAGGCTGCAGATTTTTGTCACTTCCTCCTGCTGCCATTGTCTTGTCCACTTCCCAGCCGGGGAAAAATTCTTCTCTGTCCAGCGTCCAGGAATGTTTCTGGTTCATCCAATCTAGTGTTTCTGCTTTTATACAGTATGTGTTTTTTTTGAAAAAGTGAACAGAGAATCTAAAAAGAATGGGAGAAAAATGTACGGTAGCACTTTATAATAACTACACACTATAAAGCATTAGTTAAGTATTAGTAAATACGGAATTCATCATTTATAAAGCATTGTTCATACATTAATACACATTAGTAAGTAATTCATAAACACAGTTATAAATGTTTTATTCTTTGTTATCTACACACTATGAAGCAGTTGTTAAGTATTAGTACATTTTTATTCATCATTTATAAACCATTGTTCTTACGTTAATACACATTAGTAAGTCATTTATAAACATAATTATACATGTTGTATTCTTTATTAATAAGCTCATCTATAATGTGCTTAATAATTGTATTTTCATACTTTATACATGATTGGTTCACTATTTATAAATTAAGTATTATTTTAATGACAAGCCATTTACATATGAGTTGTTAATGGTTCATAAGATCATTTGGAAAATGAAAAAAGAATTATGAAATAGGTTAACTGCCTGTTTTTTTATACTTTCCCGAGAAAGAATATAAACAATCTCAGCATAACGCCTAAATCTACTAGCGGCAAAGCCCAAAGGATGCTACTGAGACTACCCGAAAGATGCCCCAGCTAACGTTACTGGTTAAAAGCATCACCGTTACAGGCCTGGTACTGTTTCTCTGAGACAGATCATCTATCACTACCAGCTCATCAATGATTATTATTATAATTATTCCAACGAAAAAACATATTTATGCGCCTGTGGTTCATACGATAATCTCAACCATGTCTCTTCTTTACCATAGACTGTGGCCCACATAAAAAATACGGGCGCTATTTTGACCCTTGGCTCATCCAGTAGTCTCTGCCGTGTGCGCTCACTTTAGCGCCAGACCGCACCGAGGAAGAACGTCTCGGGTTACGTATGTAACCCTGGTTCCCCGAGAAGGGGAACGAGACACTGCGTCGGTTACGACACTATGGGAACGCCTCTAGGCGAAGCAGGTCTGAAAGTGAATGAAATCACTCCAATCCTATTGGCTTGTTGCTAGAACGGTAAGGTGTGACGGAATAACCGGAGGAGTATAAAGCACACCTGTACACACTCATCATTAGCTTAACTATGAAGCAGGCGCTTCAGGCGGGGAGAGAGAGGTGCGGCGGGCCGATGCAGTGTCTCGTTCCCCTTCTCAGGGAACCAGGGTTACATACGTAACCCGAGACGTTCCCCTTAGAGGGAACTCGAACTGCGTCGGTTACGACACTATGGGAACGAGATACCCACTAAACCGTGCCGAAAACCCCGCCTGCCCCTGTGTGCAATAAAGTGGCACGACTAAGAGGAGAGCGCACGAGTGCCAGGTGCCGAAGGAAGGTCAAGACTGTAAAACCGAATGAATGTGTGTGGAGTGGCCCAGCCAGCCGCTAAACAAACATCCTGCAAGAGGCCCCGGAAAGGAGGGCTCGAGAGGCCTCTGGTAGAATGAGCCCTCACAGCCACAGGTGAAGGCAAACCGCGCACCTGATAGGCCAGGGAAATAGTCTGAACAACCCAGTTGCTAATAGAATGTTTGGATGCAGGGAGCCCGGCCCTGGGAGACCCCAAACACACTAGCAGCTGGTCAGCCTTCCTCCAACGGGAGGACCTCAGAGTGTAAATATTCAGTGCTCTGACAGGGCAGAGCAGATGAAGTCTCCCGTCCTCCGCCGTCACATGAGGTGGAGGATGAAATGCCTGCAGCACTGTGGACCCTGCCGCACAAGAAGGCACTTTAGGGATGTATCCTGGACGAGGGTGCAGGATAGCCCTAATATTCCCCGGGGCAAACTCCAGGCTTTGCGGGGAAACCGAAAGCGCTTGGAGATCCCCCACCCTCCTCAGAGAGGTGATAGCAAGGAGAAAGGCCATCTTAAGGGTCAAGTGCTTAGCCTCGGCTGAGAAGAGAAGAAAAGAGAAGGGTCTACCCCATGATTACTCAGTTCATCATGTAAATCAGGAAAGAATGGCAGAGTGGAGGTGGCGCGTGGTGCTTAAGAAACCTTTCATCAAGCTTACCACTAGCCAGTGGTGTCTGCCTGTGGCCAGTTGATGTTGAGCTTAGCCACGGCACCACCTCCAGCAGCACGTCATAGTCGGGCGCTGCCTGATGACGCCGCCCCGACACCCGGAAGTCATTGTCCACTACGCTGAGCACGTCCGCCTCCTTGGAGTCGGATTGCTGCAGCGTCTCCGGATCCAAGAAGCCGAGAACGGGCTCCCGAACGAGGAAAGGAAGCGTCGGAGCCAGCGGATGAAGGTCGGGAAAAAGCATCAGCCGTCCCGAAATCCTCCGACAGATCACGCTGTGAACCCCATGAGTGAAGCCGCCGGGCCGCCTCAGCGGCCACAGGGCCCGTGCCACGGGGAGAACACATCCGGCCATCCTCGGAAAAGAGAACCATGCGCAGGCAGCCCCTCGAGAGCTGCCCGGGCGTGCTCCATCCCCAAACATGAGACACACATCTCATGAGAATCTCCATCCGTGATGTACCGAGGGCAAGAAAAAACACACCTTCTGTACATCTGGTTGCCGGACATGCTGGTAGACTTCTTCTTCAGGTAAGACACACTGCTTGTAGGACTGGAGCTTTCTTCAAACAACATACAGAGCGCCTGCTGAATAGAAAAAAGATAATGATGAGTGTGTACAGGTGTGCTTTATACTCCTCCGGTTATTCCGTCACACCTTACCGTTCTAGCAACAAGCCAATAGGATTGGAGTGATTTCATTCACGTTCAGACCTGCTACGCCTAGAGGCGTTCCCATAGTGTCGTAACTGACGCAGTTCGAGTTCCCTCGAAGGGGAACTAAACAACCACTACACAACGCATGGCTCAACACAGAAGGGCTAATTCCTCAGGTCAAGACTCTGCAGTCTACTTACATCTGAAGGACAGAGGACACTCGTTTGAGGACCACCAGGTGCACATTTTAGACAGAGAAGATGGATGGTTTGAAAGAGGTGTCAAGGAAGCCATCTACACCCGGGTTGAGAAGCCGTCATTGAACAGGGGAGGGGGTCTACGCCACCACTTATCCCCCACTTACAATGCTGTCCTTTCATCACTTCCCAGGAAACTTCAAACATCAAAAAAATCAAACATTACCTAACAACCATAACAACTGTCGTTACAACAGCCAGGAGCACTAACGAACCAGCAGTATCAATGATCTTGGCAAACGACCCCACAGAGGTAAATAGCTGAGTTTCTCTACTAGTCATTTCAGAACTGAAGAAGTCTCTTGGATGAGGGACAAAACATCTTTTGGTATCATCAACCAAGTCCAGTTGCACTTGACTTTAAGCTCTGGATATCTTTGACTTGGATGACTGAGAACCATCAGAGACATCTACTGTAAACGAATTTCCCCTCGAGGGACAAATTTTTTTTATTGAATTGTACATATGTGAGCCTTCTCTAACATGTAGTGAATACGTATTGAAGCAGCACCAATTTAATTAACATTCTCCACCATTAACATGCATTAGCTCAGTTTTACACTAAGCCCTGTCTCTTGATTCAACAAGAAACGAAACAGACGAAACAAAGCGCAATGACTATACGTATATATAACATTTATTACACGCACAGCAAATATCTACTAGACACGCAAATGAATGTTAAATGCAGCCATGAATGTTATGAATACAGGGATGAATAATTGACAAATGACTGAAAATCAGTGTAATCAGATAAGGGGATAACTTGCCATGGTGTAGCCATCGTCCCTCTGGCCAAAGCCAGAAGGAGAAAAGTCAAAACAATAAGCAGAAGAAGACCAAAGACTAGCAGTGAAGAGCAGCAGAACTTAACATACAGAGCCCGATTTGCTAGGGTCACTCCTGGCTTTATAGTTCCTGTCCAGAGGGGCCGTGGATGTCAGTGGCTCAATGCTGCTTACTCCACCAACCCCAGCAAATTCTGTCTTAACTATTTTCTTTGTTGTTATTTCTTTCCTAAAGAATGTTTGAAAAGTTGGTCTTCAGTTGCTGAAAGACACTAAACACATGAATTATACAATTATCCAGGGGTGCTCCTGAATTTAACCATGGATCCATGATGATAGAGAAATATAGAAATTAATGACAATAAAGCATGCTGTCAATATTTTAGACACCCCCCAAAATATCACAAATCATGCTTTTAGGGGAGCTGATGTCGTGGCTCCCCCGTAGTTCACACCCTGCAATTATCCACTTTGCAATAAGCAGTTTAAGTATAATACTGTATGGGCACCCCTGCATGTCTGTCACATAATGTACTCCTTCTCCCAGAAAATTGTTGCAATTACAAATGCTTTAGTATTCTCATGTTTATTTATTTTGTTTCCATTGGAACAACACAAAAAAGCAGCGGAAAAAAACAACTTTCAGACATTCCCAGAACTCCAAAAATGGACTGTACAAAATTATTGCCACCTTTTGAGAATCTTCAGAAATAGTTGTATTTCAAGCATGTGATGCTCATCTATTTTGGAAATATAGAAATCACACTTTGCTGCTTCAGGCCTGGATGTCTTGACTTTGTGCATGCCATTATGAAATCTGAAGTCTACCAAAGAATTCTAGGGCAGTGTCGGGAGGGCCCAGTGTTAGGTCTGTGCAGAGGTAATGGGTCTTACAGCAGGACAATGACCCAAAGCATACTTCAAAAAGCACCAAAAAAAAGATAAAGCACTGGAGAGTTCTGAAGTGGGAGAACTACACCCCTCTCCTCATAAATGGAGATCGGGTGGAAATGGTCACCACCTTCAGGTTTCTGGGCACTTACATCTCTGCTGACTACTCCTGGACCCATAACATCGGGGCCCAGGTCAAAGGCTCAGCTGCGGCTACACTTCCTGCGTGTCCTCAGGAAGAACAATCTGGACACAAAGCTGCTGCTGGCTTTCTATCACCTCCTCTGTGGTGAGCGTCCTAACACACTGTGTAAGTGTGTGGTACGCAGGCTCCACAGCTGAGGACAGGAAGGCGGTACAGAGGGTTATAAACACTGCCCAAAAGATCATTGGCTGCCCTCTGCCCAGCCTGGAAAACATCTCTATATCCTGTTGCCTCAGGAGAACCAAGGCCATCACAAGAGACCACTCACACCCTGCCTACCCCCTGTTTGATCTGTTGCCCTCGGGGAGACGTTACCTCTCTGGGCCATACCAACTTGACCCATGGACACTCACACACATAAGCCTCCAATTCACCCAATAACGCCCGAAACAGCAGACAATTCAGCCCACTTCCTCCCTACTTTGCACTCTTGTAATAACTATAGACACTTTAAGACTTTACTTTTTTATTAGATTTTATGTGTGTATATAGAAATATACAATACAGGCAAACATATACATATTTTATATTTATATATCCTGGTTGTATATATTATTGTGTCTCTCTGTCTCTATTTTTATGAGAACATCGTTTGTTATAACCTGTCTTTGTCTTTTTTGTTCTTTCTTTTCATATTTTTATGGTGCAAGGGTGGCTCCGTTGGAGCACCCTAAATTTCGTTGTACATTCACAGTGCAATGACAAAAAAGACTATTCTATTCTATTTTGTCCATTCCGTTTTTAGAGTTCTGTTTGGAATATCTCAAATTTGGCTTATTCTCTGATTTTCTGTGTCCTGTTCCAATGCAAACAAAAGATATAAACATGAGAATACCAAAGCATTTGTAATTGCGACAATTTTCTGGAAGAAGTAGTGCATTATGTAACTTACATGTAGGGGTTCTGTTAATATACATATATGCACAGGTTGTAAAATGGGGCACTGGTCACTTCCATTGATGTCATCCCTTGAGTCCTGGTTTGTTTCTGTTTAGGAGAACGACAGGATGTTTGGGGGAGGTTTTCTGTGAGTCCTCACAGGGGTTGTTTAGGAGTCAGGCTATATGCAGGCTTTTTAGGAGAGGGCAAATCCTTGACATGCAGGTCTGAACCAAATCCTCGAGTTATGTAATCTGTATCAAAATTATATTATCTATGTTCATACCTTCATCTCTCATGACGTCACTTATTGAATTTGTGTTTCCTTCCCACAGGCAGCACTGGCCTCCTCTGGAGGACTTTACTGTCTCCATGGCTGCGCTGTAACTATTCACTTGCTTCAGTTGTGCATGACGTTCATATGTTGCATGGAATTTGTCTGAACAAGGCTTGACTGACTAAGGTTTTTAAAAGCCAGGGGCCCCTTTTCCAAAGGCACTGTGAGGCTAAGATGATCGTAGAATCCATCTTAGGAATCTTGTTAAGCGTATGAGTTGTTTAATTGGCTGAGGCTGGTCTCAATATTGTAACAATAACAGAGACACATGCACTACACCAGGTGTGCCTGTTTCAGCTCAGTCAGTAGTGCACAGCATTTCCGTTTGAAGAGTTGCATGTTTAATCCCCACTTGCTGCTAGTATTATTACTTTTCTCCCTTTTCAACCAATTGATTATATAGAGATCGTTTTACATGTCCACAATTAAGCATGTGCAGGAGTGTGTGCCTCCCGGCGATTGGTCCACTTCAACCTATGGACTCTTTTTTTCAATTCCCCAGTATCTCCAGGCAGAGGAAATCCCTGCGTTTCTCATACATGGTAATCCGATCTCGCGTTTTCTGACAGCTTTTTCAGAAGTGTGTCAAGTAAGCCAGAGACTCTTTTGAATTTCCTTCAGAACTCTTCAAAGTAAAAGCTCTCATTTAAACACAACATAAAGTAGGCTCAATCACTTAAGAGGAAGTGAAAATGTGAGTAACTTTCGCTCTCATGACAGACTGACATCTGTTGCAGAACCAGCCAGGCAGACACTATAATGGTTTTTTTCCCCGCAATTAAAGTAATCTGGCCATGGGCCTAGATATTATTGCTGGACGCCTATTGCCGACCACTGCACTATGCAATGAAGCACTGACTGAACACTATTCAAGTTTGAGAAACAAGACACAAATGGTTATTGTGTAGCTGAAGTATCAAGACTACGCATTGTGCCTGTGTGCGTGTACACTGGACAGTGACATTATACATTTGCTAAAAAAAATAAGGGAACATCATCACAGTATAACATCAAGTCAGTTAAGCTGAAGGGATATCTGTCCAGCTAGGGAGCATAAGCGATTATGTTTTGGTGCAAATGAAAGTGACAACAGGTGCACTGGAGAGGCAACAGCAAGACAACCTCCACAAAGGGAAGGGTTTTGCAGATGGTGGCCACAGACTGTTGCTCTCTCTTTATTCTTCCTGACTGATTGTTCTCTAGTTTTGCCTTTTTCTAGTGTCCTTGTCACTACTGGTAGCATGAGGCGGTACCTTTCAGGTACCATTCAGGTTGCCCAGGTAGTCCAATTCCTCCAGGATGGCACATCCATTCATACAATACATACATTGCAAGAAGGCTTGATCTGTCTCCCTGCACAGTCTCAAGAGCATGGTGGAGATACCAGGAGACAGGCTACACAAGAAGAGCTGGACAGGGTCGTAGAAGGGTATCAACCCAGCGTGGAACCCACCTTAATTGTAGGTTAGCATACTGTTGTTACAATTGCTGCTGCAAAGCTAGCATCCAGAAAGGACAAGACAGTCCCAGAGCCAGCACAGCATCTCCAGAGATACTCACAGCTCTCCTGCTGCTATAGCTAACATCACAACTACAGCCTTACTTGGTGAACTAGAAAGTAAGCTGAATGTCATTTAACGTTACTGACACACACATCATGGCTGGGACAGCCGGAATAGTGATGCTGCTTTGGGAAACATATGTCTTGGTCTTAGAAAACAATCTCGATTCTTCAGTCGTTTTCAGGACATGGGGCCCAGTGACTGATATGCTCGGACTGAAGCTGCTGAGATCTGATATTTTACTGTATTATTGCTTACCTTCAAAGATTATGCTTTGAGTGTTTTGTGATTTTTTAAAACATTACAACAACATGTATTACTCTGACATGTTCATATGAATGAAAATTGTTTGTGTTGATAAAAGCATTGCATGTCTTTATTCTTGTTGGTTTCACTGACTGTTAAGTAAATCTAATAATAATAACTAGAACTGCAAGCAGTCCAAGCCTCCCGGCGCAAGCCGCCCCCCCTGGCCCCGTGGAGGGTGTGCGAGTCGACCCGGGCGCCCCGCCGTCGTGCTACATAAGGTCCCCACGTTTGGCGTTGATGGGTCATTCCAAACAGAGGCAAAACGTCCTACCTTTGAAAATGCCATAAGAATTAATGGGATTTAGTGAGAGATTTCAGCTGTGCTTTTAGCGCCACCTCTTGGCCAATCAGAGTTGTGGTTGCGGAGATATAAAATGCATGTAAGTCAATGGGATTTTTTTGAATAGCGCCAACTAGGGGCTAACTGTAGCAAATTTTGCGCAGCCCCTCAGGGGGGCATGCCACATAAGGTCCTTAAATTTTGTGTTGATTGGCCTTTTCCATGCCTGGATAGTTCCTGTTTTTAGAGATTTCGCAAATATTTGTTAGCTTGTAATTGGGACATTTTTTGTCGGATCAAAATTCCCTCTACAAACATTTATCGGCTCGGTCCAGAGATTGTCTGTGCCAAGTTTCGTGCTGATCGGACCTGCGGCTTCGGAGGAGTTAATTAAAATAGGTTTTACAGTTTTCGCAATTTCCCCGAACGCGTGGAAATAAGGTTTTCGATATACGCCTTCGTAGGCGGAAGTTCCAAGCCCAAACGCGTTGACCTTGCTTATAGCGCCCCCTAGAGGTAGAAGTATGTGGATTTAGGCGCCTGAGGGACTCGTGAGGTTGTGAACCTACCCTGTGAGTTTCGCGTCCCTAGCAGTTACCATCTAGGACGCAGTATGAGTTTTACGCACAGAAGAAAAAAATAATAAAAATCCGAGCGAAAACAATAGGGTTCCCAGCTCCGCTGGTACTGGGAACCGCGATGCCTTGCATTCGCGGGTTCCCAGCCCACTCGGGCTTGGACACCTAATAATAATAATAATAATACTTGTAACTCTCATATTCACTGATTGTGGCCGGTAAGAAAGGGAAGGGGATTCAGACAACCAGAACAAAACTATAACTTTGAATTCGGAGATTAATCTAATATTCCGGGTTAAATAGGCATGACAAAATTCAGAATTGGGAATGCTGTTTCTTTCAGTCTTTCTGATGATTCTGGGAAGGATTCTGAGGTGTTGAAAATAGATTGATTTTTCTTGTAGAATATGGAAGATATTTTAACTTTGTTCTGAGTCAAGCTGAGAAATCAACAAACCATCTTCTTTTGGAAAGACTGTTCATGTGACTGAATTACTATCATACCTAATTTTCCCTATTTACCTTTGCTTTTATCCAAAGTAACTTACAATTGCTATTGCTAGAGGTGTCCTCTGGAGCAACAGGGAGTTAATGTCTTGCTCAGGGACACATTGGTGGACGTGTCACCATGGAGGATTGAACCGGTTCTCTCGCACCAAAGGCATGTGTCTTATCCACTGCTCTATCACCACGCTGCATGATTACCTGCATGTTAATGTGCATGCAAGAGTTTACTTTATGAAATGGTCACATGTGGTTTGTGACACTAACAAAGTTTGCAATGTGAGTGTTAGTGAGTGATAATATTTCAAACCTTTGAGGAAGTACATACCAAAAGTGTTTGTTAAAGCCATTTGTAACAAGGCAGCAGTAGAAAAAACTTTTTGTCTCTGCAGGCAGTGGATCCCATGCAGGCTATCGCGGTGAGTTGCTTTAACTTTTCTTTGAATTTAAGTTTCATGGTATTCAGCAGTTAGCACTATGTAATGTCCAATTTGTCTTTTCTCTGAGAAGTCTTCGGAGAACATGAGTGTGTCAGTCACCTTCTTCAGACTGTTTCGTGTCATGCGTCTGGTGAAACTTTTGAATCGCTCTGAAGGGATACGGAATCTTCTGTGGACCTTCATCAAATCCCTTCAGGTCAGTATCATCACTCAGCATAATTCAGCCTGTAGTTTGATGTTACTGTGGCCCAATCCCAATCTACACCCTAAGGTTTAAGCACTAAACCCACACAGGCTTAACTGACGCCCGCTGTGTGCAGGGCCAATAACCAATAACCGAACTGAGCAAATTTACAAACTATAAGCAACAATAAGCCTACTGACATGTACCAAAAATGTTCATGTGCAGTATCTTGAGAAATAGGGGCAAAAATAACACAGGATTTAAAGCATGCAAAAACACACAAGGAAGGATCTAGGAAAACAAAGCAGAACATCAAAAGAGCATGGGCAAAACATAACAATGGACAAGAAACTAGAATACACAGAGTGAAAAACACAAGGAATGTAAAGTAGGAAAAATATTCAAACCAAAACTCCCCACAACAGCAAGAGTATACAAGAATAAAAACATGACCCTATATTTCTCTGTGGGTTTTCCCATTTATTTGTGGCCTGCTAGCTTGGCATTTAGTTCTGTTAGCCTGTCTCTATAATGATGCCACTATGAGACAAGCATTTTAGTGTCAACCAGTGTGTGAGCACTGCAAACAATTTCTAGTCTATTCTTAGCTGATTTGGCAAAAGTAGCTATCAAGCTTGCTAGAAATGCTCCTGTTAACTGTATGAATAAAGAGCATGTCAGCCAGCTGCTCATTTGTTGGTCACTTCCTTTCTATGACACTACAGCATTAGTTTTTTTTAGCAAACTACCCAAAGTTAGGAAGGCCACAAACATATGCACTATATATCCTAGGCCACATGATGGCGTAGAAAATTCAGCGTCAGAGCTTGATGCACTTCACGATGTGACAGTGGGACAGCCCTGAGCTATCACATAGTGGGAACGAGCATCAAAGTCCTGACTGTGGGGACTGGGATTGGGACTGGGATTGGGCCTGTGTCTCTGACAGTGTCATGGGTTGTTGTGTTGCAGGCTCTTCCCTATGTGGCCCTGCTTATTCTCATGCTGTTCTTTATATACGCTGTGGTTGGAATGCAGGTATGCACACACACAGACACACACACATACACATTCATATAGAGCAGGTCTAGACCGTACTCTGTGATATTATTTACAGAGACCCAACAGTTCCCATCATGAGCAAGCAATAGGCGACAGAGGCAATTAAAAACGTCTTTTTAATAGGCAGAAACCTTTTTTCAGAAAAATGGCTCAGGGTGGGCGGCCATCTGCCTTGACAGGCTTGGGTTGAGGGGGAAGGAGAGAGAGAAAAGAGAGGGAGAGAGGGCCTCTCCCTCCCAACACAATATCCACACTGAAATACCGACAGTAAAGGTAGTAGTACAGGCTGAAAATGAATAATGGTACAGATAATTACAGTAACGTTAATGATAACAACAGGACTAGACTAGAATCTGGACGTCAAAATTAACTTACTGCGGAGGACCTAAATAACATTAGCTATGGCTGCAAGCTTGAGTTACTCAAGTCGCTGAGTTGAGTGCTAAAAAACATTACCAACATTGGAGAGACCCTTATATTGATATTGTGTAGCAGAATGCCAGCAGTCAGTAAATGTATCTTTCTCTCCCAGTTTCAAAACTCTGGGCAACCTTGTGAACCGTGTCCTGTTAAGCTAGATATTTCCTAGCAACACAAAGGGAAATTCTGATGCCCGGAACTATATTTTATACACACACATATGTTATAATATGATATAATGTTCTTTTATCCAATCCAATCCAATCCATTTTATTTATATAGCACATTTTAAAAAACAGGTTTACAAAGTGCTGGACAACAAATAAACATAAAACATAGAACAACACATAGAACAGAACAACAACATAAGACCACACAGTTTTCATGCTGGGTTAAAAGCCAAGGAATACAAGTGAGCTTTAAGACGGGATTTAAAACATTTGAGGGTCGGGGCTAATTTGACCTGTGGAGGTAGCTCATTCCACAGTTTAGGGGCTGCTGCTGAAAAAGCATGGTCGCCCCTGGTTTAACCTGGTTTTTGGAGCGACCAGCCAAAGTTGATCAGTAGACTAAGTGACCGTGATGGGGGTGTAAACTTGTAAGAGGTGCCAACCCATTCAGTGATTTAAAAACAAACAATAGGATCTTAAAATGTATTCTAAAATGGACCGGGAGCCAGTGTAGCGAGGCCAGGACCAGTGTAATGTGTTCATGCATGCGAGTTCCGGTTAAAAGATGAGCGGCCAAGTTTTGTACTGTAATCGTGAGAGAGAGGTTTGGTTAACACCAATGTAAAGTGCATTACAGTAGTCCAGACAAGTTGAGATAAAAGTATGAATCACATGTTGAAAGTACTTACGAAGCTGTAGAAGTACAGTCTTTAAAATTTTTATATAAATAAGCTTCGAGAGGTTCCATAACTGCTTCTTTGAAATATGTTGGAACGACACCTGTTGCCAAACTACTATTTATAATTTTTTAGACATTTAGGCCAATAGTCTCCCAGTCTTCCATAAAGAGGCACAAGGGGGCACAGTATGAGGGTTTTAGTTGGGTGACAATTTTAGTGAGATTTAAAGCAACGCTGGCTCAAACTGACTAACTATGGAATAGTCAAAAGCAGGGGATGGGATATGGGCTCTGATAGTGGCAACCTTGCCTAAAAAGAAGTTAAGAAGATTTTCACTTCAGACGAAGCTTCCAGGCAGGAGGATTGTGGAGAGTTTAATAAAGAATCAATAGTGTTAAAAAGGACACGAGGTTTATTAAAATTTTGGGAGATAATGTCAGAATTTTCTGATATTTTCTCAAGCTCTCCTTAAAGACTTCATATGATACATGAAGTTTGTTCTTTTTCCCCCTGCGTTCAGCTCTCCTGCACACTCGCCATTGAGCCATGGCTCGGATTTAGATCTGGGGCAACTAACTTTTTGCGGTGCAACAATGTTAAGAATATCGGAACAGGTGGGAGGAAGGAAGAAAGTAATTGCTCTGTGTCAGGGTTAGCCATAACTATCACCAGACTTAGTTATATTAAAAAGCAGAAGTAAACTGAGCAGCAGTGGAGGGCTTAAACACACGACACAGGCGCGTAGGAGCAGGCAGTTTGAGAGTATGAGAGGGCAAAGTAAGACATGTATGTGATCAGAAAAAGCAGCATTATGTACTTGGATGTTAGTAATAGGCAACCCATAAGATAAAACAAGATCTAATGTGTAAGTATCAATCATATCTAAGTCTTTAGCAAGTGGTTTTGAAGGACAGCATACATGTATGTTAAAATCTTGTTAGAATCTGTCATGATCCCAGCCAGGAAAAAATTTGATTAAATTTGTTGAAAAAGTTTTGTTGGCAAGATGCCTTGATGTAAGTAAGATAACATCTCGTTTTTATGCTCCGTGAGTGTAATGGATGAGGCAGGGACTAAGATCTGCCTGATGCCAAGAAGGTTAATGGTATTATACCTAACATAACAATGTCTTTTCTGCAGATATTTGGTAAAATTGCACTGGTTGACGGCACATACATCAACAGAAACAACAACTTCCAGACATTCCCACAGGCTGTGCTGCTGTTATTCAGGTT